GAATAATTATACAGTGGTGTGACTTTGTTTCTGGATGTGGAATATGTATACAAATGGTGTGGATTGTATGCATTGGATTTTAGATTTGATTTATATTTGGCATGGAAATAACTATTAATAAGGTTTATTTCCTTGGTGCGGATATATATATATTATGGATAAATATCTGTTTAATGATATTTTATCATGTACTATGGTTGGTTTTATATGTGCTAACCCTTGCATGTTTCCATGTGGTTTGGACTGTGATGATCTCACTTTGTGGGGGAGCAGATCAGGTGTGAGGCTTGGGATAGCAAGAAGTCTTCTGATAGCTGCTTTGAGTAGTAGCAAGGTTTAGAGCTTGACCAGCACCTAGGGTGTCTATATTATATTATCTTTTGGATTACTGTATAACTTTACTAAGGATGATGACTCTGCTATAGCAGATTATATTATATATTTTGGAAACAATTTATATGTTATTGTATAATTACACTCTAGCGTAGCTGGCTTTTGCTCTATTTTCTTTATTTTATATATTTTATTTTGTTTGGTTATTGATGTGACGGCCTAGGGCGGGTCGTTACAATTTTAGTCATGATTTATTTTTACTTGTATTTCCCATTTTACCTTGTATTATGGGATGCCTTTGATTATAGGATTTTATTTTTGGACTAGGGTATTCTATTAGGGTGAGAAATAGGCCTAAAAGTATTTTTTGGTGAGCATTGATCTATTTTTGGACTTGGAAAGGCTTAGGTCCAAGTGGAGGGCACCTAGGTTGCATGGTCTTATCATGCTCCTAGTTGTAGCTTAGCCAAATCCAAAGATTCCATCCTTGGCCACCAAGTAGCATCTAGGGTTAATTTGGGTTTCATTTTAAGTGCATTTGGCATTGCAAATTTTGGCCATACACTCCCCAATGCAACCCTAAATGCTCCCTCCCCTATAAATACCCTAAACCATGCACTTGGTAAATACTTTGGATTATATGATATTGAGTGAGAATTTTATGCCTCAACATCCCATCCTTAGTCACTAGGTTAACTTAGGCTAGCTTTCTCCTATCTCCACCCTTAGAGAGTGGGAAACCTAGAGTGGCCTCTATCTTCATCTTGGAGGTTGATCATCTCAAGTTCATGCAAGCTAGGATGCCATCAGTGTTGCTCTCATAGAACTCTCTAATCTCTTTAAAACAATGTACCTCTTTAAAATTCTGAATGCCTTATACATCTACAAACCCTAATTTTTTTTATAATAATAACTCAATTGGGTTTAGGTTTGATTAGCTAGCTTAGAGTGCTTTAGTAAGCTCGCTATGAGCGAGCAGGTGCATGCTCTAGGAGTCTTCTTCTGCCTTCACTCGCTTAGAGAAAATTGTGATAGCTTTAAGCAAATTATGCTTGCTTAAAGCATTTGGTAAACTCGCTTTGAGCGACTACTTGCATCCGTCGAAGGGTATCCTCTAATTTCACTCGCTTAGAGCGAATTGTGGTAGCTCTAAGCAAATCTTACTCGCTCAAGGTGTCATATATCTTGCTCTAAGCAACCATGCTTGTTCTTCCAGTAGTGTTTTACGACTTTACTTACTCAAAGTGAAATCTTCTTTTTATGCTTTCCCCCTCTCAGACTTGTAGCTTCCAAATTATCTTCTTCCCGTTCTTATCTCAACAACACAAAAAAACTCATAAAAATACATAATATTTAACAAATAACATTTTCATTTAAAATTAACTCTTGATTAAGTGTTTTGTGGTCAAAAATAAGATTTAGAAACATAATATATAATAATAATTACTTAAATTGAATGAAATATATATGCATATTTAGCAATTATCGAGATGCCTAATTAATATTTACCATGAAAAAAATGTGTTAAAAATATTACTTCAACTAGTGATATTTGCGAGAGAATAACAATTTTTTACGGAAATGGAATTTAAAAATTTTTTTTTTACCAAAAACGCACCTGTTACACTTTATTTACATATCTAGCATCATTCACTGTTCACACTCAGAATTCGGTTCCCCGCGAACCGAATTCTGAGCTTAAAATTATTTTTTTTTTGTGATCAGAATTCGGTTCCCGGGAAACCGAATTCTGAGTAGTTTTTAATTTTTTTTTGTTTTTTTGGTTTGTGGCCGAGAGTGTGCGAATCTTGAAATTGGAATGACCCGTTCCGCTTGCACATGTAGAATGTTAATTTTGAAAATGGAACGGCCGCAAAACGGGCCGTTCTCAAGTTATGCGTTAACACATAATTCTAGAACGAACCGTTCTGCGGCCGTTCCATTTTCAAAATTAAAATTCTACGTGTGCAAGCGGAACGGACCGTTCTGTTTCCAGAACAGGCCGTTCCAGTTCCAAGCTTCGCACAAACTGTTCCACCAACCAAAAAAAAAATTAAAAACTACTCAGAATTCGGTTTTCCGGGAACCGAATTCTGATCACAAAAAAAAAATTGAAGCTCAGAATTCGGTTCCCCGGGAACTGAATTCTGAATATGAACGCTAAATGATGTTAGACGTGTAAATAAAGTGTAACACAAGCGTCTTTGGTAAAAAAAATTTCAAAAAGTTCTACTTCCGTAAAAAATTCAGAGAATAACTCTCCACTTACAAACTAATTTTGTGCGAAACTAATTTTGTGTGAATGAGTAATATATGTTCTAAGACATAAGACATAGGTGCAAACAGTGAGTTAGCTCAGATCCTATAATTCATTCCACTACACAATTTTGTTTAAGGAACGAGTCAATGCTCACATAAAGTCAAACCATTCACATCTCGCAGGTTTCAGCACACAGATAAGATTCGAACATCTTACCAACCACGTACGACAGTGTTAAAATACAAATTTGATCATTTCTTCCTTACGTGTCCTCTCTTTCTCTCGAGTTTCCTCAACGCACTGTTACAAATATCTACATTGTTGACAAAAAGTAGCTACGCCACAATGTAATTCACTGTGTACCAATAATTTACCAAAGCAATGGCCTCTTTCACTTTAATGTTTCTCTTTGCCATATTACTCATATTGTTCCCTTCAAGTTCTTCTGCAATTGATACCATTAACGGGTCGCAGTCCCTTCCTGATGGCACTACCTTGGTCTCAAAAGATGGAGCTTTTGAAATGGGTTTCTTCAGTCCAAGCAATAGTAACACCACCACAAATCGCTACCTTGGAATCTGGTACAAAAGTATCTCAGTTAAAACCGTTGTTTGGGTTGCAAACCGTGAAAAACCGGTTAAGGACAACTCCAGCAAGTTGAGCATAAGCACACAAGGAAAACTTGTGATCCTTAGCAAGAACAATACTATTGTCTGGTCAGCAAACTCAACTGAAGAAACACATGCTATGAGTCCAATTGTTCAGCTTTTAGACTCAGGGAACTTGGTACTAAGAGATGAGAAAGACACAGATTCAGAAAATTACTTATGGCAAAGTTTTGACTACCCTTGTGATACTTTTCTGCCAGGAATGAAGATTGGATGGAACCTTAAGACGGGTCTTAACCGCCGTTTAACCGCGTGGAAGAATTGGGATGATCCTTCTCCAGGGGACTTAATTTGGGGTATGATGCTTGGTAACACTCCTGAATTGGTTATGTGGAAAGGATCTAGTGAGTATTATAGGAGTGGTCCTTGGAATGGTGTTAGATTCAATGGCAAAACCACTCCCATTTTTAACTTGGAACTACAGACCACTCTTGAGGAAGTGTATTACACCTACAACCTTGGGAATAACTCATTGATTACAAGAGTTGTTTTGAACCAATCTTTGTATTCTCGCCAGCGTTATAATTGGATTGAAGAGAACCAAACTTGGAGGCTTTATTCATCAGTTCCTAGAGACAATTGTGACAACTACAATCTTTGTGGTCCATATGGGAATTGTATTGTGAGTGAGTCACCACCCTGCCAGTGTTTAACCGGGTTCAAGCCAAAATCAGTTCAAAATTATGAGGCATTGGATTGGAGCCAAGGATGTGTGCTTAGTGAACCTTGGAGCTGTGGGGTCAGAAAAAAAGATGGTTTTAAAAAATTTAGTGGGTTGAAAATGCCAGATACTACAAGGACTTGGGTTGATGGAAATTTGACACTTGAGGAATGCAAGGCTAAATGCTTGCAAAACTGTTCTTGCACAGCATATGCAAACTTATATATCACAGGAGATGGCAATGGTTGTATCATGTGGTTTGGAGATTTGCTTGATTTAAGGGTGGCTTCTGTTCCCGGGCAGGATCTATATATTCGAATGGTTGCATCAGAAACTGGTGCGGTTTTTAGTTCTTTGTTGATTTTTCTTTATTTCAACATTCTGTCTTCATCTTTTTTAGAATGTGACAATTGGTTTATTTTTCTAACAAAGGAGGGCATAAGAAAGTGGTAGCACTAGCAGTGGTGATTCCTGTTATTCTCGTGGTTTTTGTGATTGTTTTCATTTTCACATATCTTTACTGGCGGAAAAAAAAGGTTAGAGGTAAACTTTCTAAGCCTGACCTCCTTTAAACATTGTTACCGCAAGTTCTTGACTCGCTATACTGTTGTTTACACAAATGATACTTACCACTTATACTTGTGTTGTTAAATATCAGTATCGTGATAGAAGAGCATGTGATGATGGTTACTTTTGGATGATTGGAACCCTCATATATATATATATATGATGAACTTGCGTGATGATAGTGCCTTTATAAGAGCATTTTGTTTTCTTATTTTATGATGTTAAGCTGATTAGTTTACTTGAGAGAAAACAGAAAATGCTTCAGAAGAAAAGAAAGAAGAAGATCGTGAAGAAGACTTAGATCTTCCTTTCTTTGATTTTGCTACAATAGTTTGTGCCACTAATGACTTCTCAAGTGACAAGAGGCTTGGCCAAGGTGGTTTTGGCCCTGTGTATAAGGTAAATAACCAAATATGCAACTAACCTGTCAACAGTAAGACACAAATAAAAAGTTGTCATGCATTTTACTCTTTGATTGAATTATTCAACAAATTTGATTTAATTTTTTAGGGTACACTAGAAGATGGACAAGAGATTGCTGCCAAGAGGCTTTCTAATAATACTGGACAAGGAATAAAAGAATTCAAGAATGAAGTTATATTGTGTGCCAAACTTCAGCACCGGAATCTTGTTAAGGTTCTTGGTTGTTCCATTCAAGGAGAGGAAAAAGTGCTCATCTATGAATACATGCCAAATAAAAGCCTAGATTCATTTCTCTTTGGTATGTGCCTCTGCAAAAAACAAATATTTAGACTGAAGAAGTTCATTTGATTCTTCTCTGAACTAACTCAACTAGGAAATTTGACAGATTCTTCCAAAAGTGGACTCCTAAGCTGGTCTAAACGCTTTAACATTATATTTGGAATTGCTCGAGGACTTCTTTATCTTCATCAAGATTCTAGATTAAGAATCATTCATAGAGACATGAAAGTAAGTAATATTCTACTAGATAGTGAGTTGAATCCAAAAATTTCAGATTTTGGTGTAGCTCGAATGGTTAATGGAAATCAAACTGAAGGGAATACAAAAATGGTGGTTGGAACATAGTAAGAACTTTCCTAATACCTATTAACTAAACTTCTAAGTGTATTTAAATTTTCGTCAATTTTGTAAGGATAAAACTAACTCATTTGTGCAATTTCATCAAGTGGCTACATGGCACCAGAATATGCAATTGATGGGCTATTCTCTGTCAAATCCGATGTATATAGTTTTGGGATACTATTACTTGAGATAGTAAGTGGGAAGAAAAACAGAGGAATTTTCTTTCCGGATCATGGATTCAATCTATTAGGACATGTGAGACAACGAACATAACCTTTTTCAATAACTAGTATAAATATTATAAAATTCATGATCATAACTTCATTTTCAATTTTGTAGGCATGGAGATTGTGGAAAAAGGGCACTCCAATGGAATTAATTGATGCAACTTTGGGTGACACCTTTAACATATCAGAAGTACTGCGCTGCATTCATGTTGGTCTTCTATGTGTACAACTACATCCAGAGGATAGGCCAAACATGGCATCAGTGATTTTTATGTTGAGCAGTGAAAACACTTTGCCACAACCTAAGGAACCTGGATTCCTTATTGAAAGGATGAAGATTGCAGGAGAATCTTCAACTAGCAATGAAATTAAGACTTCCACTAATGAATTAACTGTGACACTGCTAGAGGCTAGATAGAGATGTTTTAGTATACTTTTGTGTCATGTAAATTCAGTATTCTATTTACTCAAAGGCCTTCACAAGTTAAAGTTCAGTCTATAACAGTATAGCCCATTATCACTCACAGGAAAAACTTCATATATATATATATATAGATATGTATATACTTTTCTTGAATTGGTTGAAGTAATGTAATAGATTGTTATACATAATATCCTAAAGTTGACAATTAAAAACTAAAATGTATTTGTAGAACTTGGCTGGAGTATACTATATCTTGTGCTTGACGTAGGATTATGTAGTAACTATATCATTTGATATTTCTTTCCATCTCTGCTAATTTTGGTTTCTCTACACCAAGACAATTTGTGAAGTTTGCATGTTTTCCGTCACATCATTTGGCTCTTTTATCACTTTCTCTTTTCTTAATTTATTTTTCTCAATCTTACTTTTCCTTCTACTCCATACACATCATTTCTGTGGTGTACATTTAGCATTGTCCAATTTTATTGAGTGGTGCATGTAACACGTTGAAGTATGAAAGCATAATTATCCTATCAAATCAGAGTCTTAAAATATACATTGTCCACCTCTATCGTTGAAAAAGATGTAAGGCAACCCACCCACATGCTCGCTCATATATATTTATATCAGATTTCTAATATAAACACTAACAAAAGGATCATTTAATAGCATTATATTCTTTGCAAACTTGACTTTTCTGCTGATAAGTTATGCATATAGCAGCCTTTTCTTTCTCTACTTTTGACTCTGAATATGGCAAATAGGCTTTCATAGAATTAATGTTACTTTGATTTTAACACCTATTTTGGTCCCATACATTATATATTGGTCATTCATCAATAAATAATAAATAATGCCACGAATTTTCTTATTCAAAGATCAAACAACCAATTTGATGTTGCATGTGTCCCTCTCAGGGGTCCAATTTGAAAATGAATAAATGATAGCAACAGATTGAATTTCATAGAGAGGCTAAAATATGATCTGGCCTGTTTGAACTTCAATACGTAAAGGACCTCCACTCCTGACACAAAACTAGATAACATAAGATAATTTTTAATAATAAAGTCAATGAATTAATGCGACACTCTTCTTGTTAACAAAAGAGTTGACCACGATGCCTGAATCTGATTCAGTGTCAACATTTGGTAGTTATGTTATGATAGCAGAGATGTTGGAAACTGTCATATTTTTCATTTATCTGCAATTGATATGTTTCTAAAACATATATTAAGATATATAAAATAGAGCAACATTTTCTGCTACCCAGCAAGTATAGGTAACCTGACCAACATAATTACAAAACTAAACACACTCCAATGGTACGAGTCTTGTACTTTAATTTGACAAACAAACCAACTACGACATTAAACATAAAATATGGGGTTTCTATTGTCAATTTTGTTTAGTTATTGAACAACTTTTATTTGATTTTAATCCTTCAAACTTTTTTACATGAACACCAAAGACCAAAATGTTAACGGAAGAAAAAGTTCAATAACTAAAACTAGAAATGGGGAAAAGTTGGTAAACTAAAAATAGTATAAAAAAAAACAATTGAGAGACTTAAAAAAAGATTTTGCAGAAAAGTTCATGTACCAAAACCATATTTAATCCTATAATAAAATTAAACATGACAGAATATTGGTGTACATCAGAAATTTCAACAACATCAACAGAAATCCCACTTTAGTGGTCCCCAAGAATACATTCTAAACCAGAGAGGCTATTTCTTTTAGATTTGGATCCTCACGTAATTGAATAAGAGTAACATGATATGGTTGTTTAGAGTGTTGAATAACCTTTCCCTTATAGTACGCTTTTAACAAATTTATTTCTGCTGTTTGAAAATTTTGCAGTTCCTTAAGTTCCTTGAAAATACTATCTACATAGCCATCTTATAGCATAAGGAAAGCCTCAAACACTGAAAATGTGGGCTTGTCCCAAATTCCTTGCATTATGTGTGCCACTTGTGTGTGGGATTTGGCCCAATACTTTTCTTTTTCTTTTTCTTTTTCTTCTTATTACTTATTATAATAGTTAGTTAATATAAATATGTTTTTTTTCTTATAATATACCATTTTATTGATTTCTATAATATACCATTTTTTTTCTCGTTTCATCTTTTTTTTTCTTCCTCACCTCTTTTTTTTCTCTATTTTTCCTATCTTACTCTTTTTATCTCTCTCACATCTCCTCTCTCTCTTCTCAACCTCATATTTTCTTTTCTCTCTCTCTTTCTCCTCTTTTTTTTCTCTCTCTTCTCATTTCTTCTCTATCCCATGTTCTCTTTCTCCTTTTTTGCGATGCACAGTTTCTATATAACGTGAGAAATTCAAATTGTTCAATTGAAATTAAATTGAAAAAAAAAAATCACAATTGTAATACTTGATATGCATTTGAGTAATATGTAGCCACATAGCTTTTCTAGCTTCATGCCTTCATCTCTTGGTGTTTTTGGTTGGGCTTCCAAAACCATTATCCAGCTTTGTTGGATGCATGTCGTCATTGGGTATTAACTTGTTGGGCCTTGGCCCAATTACGATGTGAATACCATAGGAGGAGCCACCCATTTGCTTTGTTTATATATCCTTGCTTTGTTTTTTAGCTGGGCTTATAGTCTGTTTGGTCCAACTATGAAATCAACCCAGCCCATTTCATGTGTTGAAAATTGAAATGCTTCCTTGCACTGTTTTGGTTCCCTTCATTTAGCCCAAGTGAAATCTTTTATCATCAATTGTGGAAAATATCTAACGGCCTAGAATTCATGATAAATTCCCACTGTTAGATTTATCATCACCGTTCAACCAATTCCTTGTACTACTAGTTCTTTTATTTTTTTTGTTAACTTTAATTTTGGTGGACGTTTGCTTTGTTGTTGGGTTTGTTTGAATTATTTGAACACAGGACATTTCAGGCTTGTTTTGTAGACTTAGTTTAAGATGAACTAATATATAAAAAATAAAATAAAATAAATAAATATTGTGTTCGTGTCCTTCTTTCTTCATCAAGTTGATCTCTCAAACATAATTGTGCTTATTTTAGTGAAATTGTTACTTATATTTTCTCACATAACATTAGGTAAGTGTAACCTGATAGCTCATTCTTTTTTTTTATTCAATGGAATGTAAAAATCCTAGTTTTTATTTGTTTATTTATTTAATATTTATTTCATGGAATGTTGTGTGTAAGCCGTCAAATGATTTTACTTTTGTATTTATTATATAGTTTGATTATCAAGGTATGATATTGTATTCTCCACGCTAGTCAATAATAATCTCGTGACTTTTGAATTTCTATTCAATTTCCTAATAATGATTTTTTTTTAAAATTAAATTAATTTTAATTACGGACAACAAACTAATTTTCCGTTAATAATTTTAAGTAGTATATATTTTCATCCTAGTTCCTTCAAAATCTAAACTAAGCAACCATGTAGAACCATCACTCCACAAGAATATGACTAGGGGTCTCCGTATTAAAAATGACTAATCAATTGTAATGGATGAATGATGAGGGAATCGGTTAACATTAGTAGAAAATCAAAGATCATTATATTTTTTTATTATTAAAAATTTAATATTTTTATCAAATCCAATATTTGAACTTAAAATCTTGAAGTTCAAGGACCAATCACGGTATCAATTGGATTAAAATACTTTTATTACTTAATCTTAATTTTTTTTTATTTTTAATAGAGACATAAAATAACTCAACCTTACTAGTTTAGATAATAACAATATATTGAATCCACAACACGAGTAAAACTAGTTCTAAAGTGGTGAAAGATTTATCTCACTATCCTTGATAAGCGGACCAAGCTTCGTTGTAGTAGTTTAGTATCGTCCTCAGGGATTTGTGATATTAGTAATTTATATTCTAATGATTTATAGAAGAATATTGATATGATTGAAAGTTGGTTTAATATAGAGTAAAGTAGAACAACAAAATAAAGTTTAAAAGAACAGTTATATAAAGAGTGAATTGGATTCAAGTGTACTTGCTAACCCTTAAATCTTCCTTAGAAAAATATGATTTTAATTTCATTACTTTCACGTTCGTTAAATAACTCAACCAAATCCCTCAAAATTGAGTCCTAAGGTGATTAATCCTAAACATGATTCCTCTATGCTTTAAGATTAACACCTTGCATTAAGAACGACAACTTGAACAAAGGTGACTAACCAAATCAAGTCTATTCTTAGAACAAGAGATAATTAGGTGCATGATTCAGTTCAGGTTTTCAAAAATATTTTCCAACAGGATTCAAAAACCAAAAACCATACAACGGGTGATCAAACCGAAATAAGCATTAAGAGAAAAATCAGGCACAAGCAATGAAAATCAAATGCATATATAATCAAGAAGAAAAAGAGTTAGTAGTTACACCGAAGCCAATCCCAAAAGATCTAGCCACTCATGGTGAGGGCCATTACAAAATCAAAGGAGAAGAAGAAATTACAAAGGAAAAGAAGAAGAAACGAAGTTGATCCTTGTTCCCCAAGCGATCCAACCTTGAGATCTTCTCTTTGACTATGTTTTTCTCTATTCGTGTGCTCTCCTTTGTTGTATTTGTTTTCATATTCCCCTATCTCTCTCTACATTTCCTTTTTATTTTGGTCTCCAAAACAGGGGAAAGATCCAATTTTTAATCTCACTGCTGCAGCTGTGATCCACAACCATGGCTGTGGAGGGTCCTTCATAATTAAGTAATCTTCATGGCTACAACTAGGTCCCACAGCCATGGCTGTGGAAGTTCCTTCATGGTGAAGCAAATCCAATGCTACAGTTATAGACTCACAACCATGGTTGTGACTCTTTGGACCTTTTTCTTACTCTCCAGTATCTCATGGCTTGAGTTATGAATCCACAATCATGATTGCAAGTCTCTGGATCCTTCTTGATTGCACTTCAAATTCTCATTACAAATCCACAACAATGGCTACAACTCTCTAGTGCTTCTTGATTGCATTCAAGGTTCTCACGACTATGGCTGCAAACCCATGACCATGGCTATCGAATTCTGATTTCCAATTTTTTCTACAAAAAGAGAGAATTTTTATTAGATTTCTACTACTCTTCTTACCTTCTTATGTTCACTTAATTTTTCCTATTTTGGGGTTAAATATCATTAACATATTTACATTTTTATCCAAAAAGAGTGCTAGATGCTAAACAAAAACATGTATAATAAGTACTCAACATAAAGTTTTGTAATCCTAACATTCACTTTGGGATGAATTAGCAAGAATTGTCACAGATGGAGATG